AAAACTGGCTGTTAAAAAAAAACAACCTGCGGCCAGAGCAGTAACAAGGGTCATTGTAAGACGGTAGAGTTCCCACCTGGCTTTGGCACACGGAGCACGTTCAGCCCGGATATTTGTCAGTGCTCTTTTCCTTCTGGCAGTTTTCATTTATTGGCTGCAAGTTAGGGCTTCCCCTTGCGGGACCTCGCTGGGTTCCTGCCTCCAGTTCCCTCCTGCTTTAGACTGACTGTCAACCTTGCGTTTTCCTGGCTCGGAGGTAGCGAAGTCCACTGGATCAGGAGAGAGACAGCAAAACAGCTCGGCCGCCATGGGCAGGGTCCTGGAACCTGACCATAGGTTACGTGTGCCGCGCGGGCAGAAAAACGTCCTTGGCGGGTGCGTACGTTGCTGCCCTGGCTGTCGGCGCGAGCTCCAGTCTGAAAGCAGGGCGCGGGTTCAGGGTACCCTGAATTTGCTTCGATGACTCCGGCTGGCTGTCCAGCGGTGGCTGTGTGGCAAAGGGTACTGTTCCTTGGGTCGGCTTTTTTTATTTCCAACGCTGAAGTCACTGGGGTTGTGCAAGGTCAGTCCCTTGTTTTTAGGTCCTTTAGGAAAAAGCGGATACCGAAATGGGGATAGGACAGTTTCTGGTGTTACTGCCTGGGAATAGAAGGTAAAACAAGTCCTGCTTTCTGACTACCCAGTTCTTCCCTTGAAGAAGTGCTCGTGTGCTCGGATCCTCGTAGACTACACGTTGTTGCACTACTCCTCTGACTTTTAATGAGACTCTTCCGCAGTGGAATTGCATAAATCACAACAAAGTTAGAGGCAGAGCCATGTCTTCGGTGCAGGCTCTGGGTGCCCATAAACCAAGGTTGCACATAGGTCCGAAAGAAGGATTTAGCCCATAGCCTTGCTTCAGGTGTCCAGTAAGAAGTGATTTTTGTAAGATTCCCTCTGTAATTCAGGGTTCATCATCTCTAACCAGAATTTAACGTAAGAGCCTATGTTTCAGAGTCAAATGTTTAAGTCCTCTCTCTCCCCCTTTTATTTTGATTTTTTTTTCTTTTTTTAAATCTCAGGGCAAGCTTTTGACTTAATTCTGCGAGCAGTTTTACCTGGGTGAAAACTGAGTAAGGATGGCGGGACTTGGCTTGTTATTATGGGGGAAGCAGGGATAGAGGTTTATAATTGAAAATAGTGCGTAAAAAGCTTGTTTTTAATTTCTCGATGGAATGTAAGGGACTCAAGGGGGGTTCTGCATCCCCTCAGATACGGTACTTAATATTTATGCTTTCATTGCACCTTGACAAACATTTCACGTAGTTATTGCTTTGCTTGAATATGGAAATATGTTAATTACGGCCTTTATTCCGCTGCCTGCTCTTTTCCTCAGCCTTTTCTATTCAACCCTCTAGGTGGCCCAGCACAATGTGGCTTCTTTTCTTTCAATGAGCTCTTTCCACACTAATAGGGTCCAGGGTGATGTGGAGAACCATGTGCACAAAATTGGTGCACCACCCCCCATCCCTTTGTGGGTATGTCAGGTTAAATTCATATCAGCAGGAGGGTCACTGCCATGATTTTCAATAGCGCGAGATGAGGTGATGACTTCAGACAATGGCGCCACACTCTCCAGTTGGAGACACTTGCCTCACCAGTTGCAGTAGTTAATTAATATGCTAAAAATAGAAGCCAGTGATACAAATCGCTGCCTGTTGTACAACAAAGACTGGGCATGTGTAGCTTTGATAGCCAAGTTTATGGTGCTTGTTATGGAGGGAAGTTAGTTTAGAGCTAGAGGCAATGTAAGACTTTCTGGATGCTGAGCTTTAGTCACTCTGGGCCTCTGGCCATTCGCTCGCTGTCTCATTTGCATTATGAATGACATTAAGGGAACTAACAAGGTTATTGGGCATAGAAATGTTCTCATGTGACCCCACGTGGAAGCAGACCTACAGCAGTGCTAGTTGGCAGGGGCACTGTGGCTCTTTATTCAGCTTCCTAGGAAGACGGTTTCTGGGAGTAGATGTAAAATCAACCACGAGAGAACCGGCGCTTGGATAATGTGGAGGTCCTGATGCAAGCCCCTAGGAAGTTCAGAGGGCAGGCGGGAGCTGTGTCCTTCACTCAGCCCGCCGTGCCTGGCCGGTGCTGAGCGTTGAGTGCAAGACGTGGGAGCTCCCCGTTGCTTGGGTGTAAATGCAGCCGCCTGGGGCTGGGTGAAGCCTCTCCGTGGGGGTTCAGTGACCATGCATGAGGGTGTGAGTCCACTCGGGCCTCCGAGTGGGTCCGTTTCTCCTTGCTGCTGGCTCAAATGATGGGTGGGAGGGGGTGGGTTTTCGTTCTCACCCACTGCATCATAGGGACTGTCCAAATACCGGCAGAGGTTGAGAGGTTTTGCATCATCTTTTTACTACATCTTCCCTGAAACTTGAGACAAGGAGGGGTAAATTATGGAAAGTCCATCGCCACTTGTAGTTCCCACGCATAACTAGGAGATGGTTTGGTATGTCCAAAGATTTAAATGCAGGAGTTGCATCCCAGCTTAGGGCCACGTTGGCCAAGTGCAGCCTCATTCACGCCAATGCAACCACACAGGATTCGCAAACGCAAGCAAATGCAGTGTGTACAAGAGGAGAAGCAGACCTGTGGAGATGTAGTCTGCTTTAATTTATCCCTTTTCTAAAGAAACTAGTGGGATTGCTGATGAATCGCTCTATGTAGATGACAGCAGATTTTGGGGATGCTAGGTCTCTTCCATAAATGTTTGAATGTTCTTAAATTTTGTAGACATTTGTTAATTGCTCCATGGACCAGGAGGACGCTCTGGACAGTCACATAAGCACATAAACATTTACGACCTTTATAAAAACCTCTCATTATCAGACTCCTTTAACCATTCCTCATTTTCATATTGGACTATGTAAACTGGTTGCCCATTGGGCTTTTTAAACTGGTGGCCCAGCGATCACACTTCTTCTGTGGAGCCACCAGCTACCAGATCAACCCACAGGAAAGAGCCACTGCAACAGTCACCCAGAGCCAAGTCCCAGGGCCCCCCGTCAGTAGCAATGAGTAAGAAGAAAGGCAAAATGGCATAAAATGAGGGCTGTTTTGAGGGCTTAAAACCCCACTGTATTTATGGCCTGCTCTGAAGGTCTGGCCTGACGATAAGTGCCACCACAGGCTGAGGCACCAGGGATAGGGCAGACTCTGTGGGGAGTGCATGTGCAGTGTGTCAGGTAGCCTTATCTATTTTCCCTGGTCATGCATTTACAGGCTGGATGGGGCTAGCCGTTGCATGTGTGTGTGTGTATAAATCCGTGTGAGGTGAATGTGAAAGCGATTTTGATCATGAAAGTGCAGTTCCTGTTACCTCGACATGTGCTGAGATCAGCATCCTCAGGGTCGCATCCCGCACTGATAAGTAGGAATCAGGGCTCTCCTGTTGACTCGCTCATTAGTGGGGACAATATAACTTAATTTCCAAGATCATCAGCTTTCCTGTGTAGAGTGGGTTCTTACTATTACAGTAGTGCATAATTACTATTTTTATAATAATGGCAGTCCATATTCATTGCTTCTGTCGGTGGGAATTTGCTCCTTCAGAAGTGGTTGTCAGAGTGTGATGTCTGCTGAGCTCTCCTGGTAGGAAGGACAGTGGACTTCAGCAGTGTGCAACGGCGGGCTTGCAGGTGGTCATCTCTTGGTGGCTTCCACGCCAGGTTTTCAGCTCCTCCTTCTCTCTCCCTACTCCTAACATGTCCCTTCCAGTCTGTCTGGATGCATGTTATGACCCGAGTCCCAGCCTTACCTGACTGCTTCATTCCTCGTGGGTCCCAGGGACATACTCCAGCCTGGAGAAGAGCATGCCATCTCCACAGCTATTGCAGTATCTGCCAGCTCAGAGTCTGGGAGGCCGAGAACAACCCTCCGTGTGTCTAAAACTTGAGCGGTTACACAGACGTCAACAGGGTTACAGAATTTGTGCTACCTGAACAGAGAGGACTTGGGATCTGCCCTTAACAGAAGGGCAGTTTTCTGTAACAATCTGTTTCTATAAATAGACTAAATATATCGATTGTGGTTTATTTCATATTAAGTGTTACTTGGGTTTCCTCTTCCTTCTCCTCCAGTCACCCCAACTGAAAAGTGGTAGAGAAGGGTTTGTTAATGAGTTATTGTTCAGCCAAACAACTTGCAAACCAAGTTGCATTTTAGGAAGATACCAGCAACCAAGAAAATCTCCTGGAAATGGTGTTTAGTAAGACATGCTGATAAGCCAGTTCCTATGGCAGTGTCATAAACCATAAAATGGACTTATAAAGGTCACATTTAGTTTTATTTTCATTTCTCTCCTGATCTCCACAGATGTGTGAGAGGAAGTTTTGAAACGTATTTTCAACTTACTAAGAAATAGTAGTAATGACAAATGTGATCTTTGTTTTTTCTTTGATTACGTAGCTATGGGCTGTAAGTGTTCTCATTTCCTAATTGCAAAGGTGGTAAAGATGAATTGTTAATTAAAATCTCTTTCCCGGACAGGTCTTTAAATGCTCGAGTTAATTAAGTCTTTAAAAATTGACGTGACTAAAAATCTCAGTTTGGTCCTTTGTGATACCTTATTCCAGTTATACAGAGTTATACAGAGAGCTCTAATGTGACCAAGACCCAAATTTCTGACGTAAATTACAGAAAGCCTCGTTCTTCTCTTTCCTTTTCTTTAAAACTAAGGAAAGACTATTAAAAATTGTCCAGGTTTACTTTATGCATCAGTGAGAATAAAAGACCGAACCGCATTTCCATTTTAATTTGCAGATCTGTTACCCCTCCTTTGACTGCTTGTGATGAGCAGTGTGACTAATGAGCTCCACCGGACCAAAAAGAGTGGCACTTTTCCCTTTCTTCTACGTCCCCGTTTTTTATTCTTGGGTGTGGTTTTTTTATGTTGCTTGCCTCTGATGTTTTGCAGCTTTTCTGGTCTGGGCTTGGACTGATTCCCAGATCTGTTCTTGCAGATTTTAACTTTGCCATGTACCCACCGTCAATGATAGCAACTGGAAGTGTGGGAGCAGCCATCTGTGGCCTTCAGCTTGATGACGGGGACAGCCTCACGGACCTCCTGGCCAAGATCACAAACACAGATGTGGTGAGTGTCCCGCATTCCTCTTCTCCTTTCACTTATGAGGTGGAGAACTGGGCCATCAAACCCGGCCTGATCCCGAAAGCCCAGTGGAGCAAAGGAGGGGGGTGCTTCTGGAGCGAGCGGGTTGCAGGCATGGACCCGGCACCTTGGTTGCAATGCTTTGGATGTCCAAAGCTCCTTGGCTTCCCGGGATCATTTTTCATTCACGCTTTGTTCAGCAGCTTGGTGGGGAGAGCCTGCTCTGCCCGCCCTGGCTGACGGTCAGGCTTGCTCTAGGGGGGAGCCGCCTCGGGTACCACCCCGGGCGATGGGGCGAGCAGGCAGACAGCATCCCCTGGGGCACAAGGTAAACCAGTATGTGCGCCGGTCCTGTGTTCGCAGCCTTGTAAGCACTCTTCTCGCCCTCATGGAGGTATTGTCTAAAAATCCTTCACTGAGGGGAAGTGAATAACGAGCTAATCCTCCGGCACTGGCACAGTGTGAGGCAGGTGCAACCCAGGCTGTCTGGGATCTTGTCTGTAACTTCATTAAGCTCGCCCCGTGAAGGGCATTTCTTGGCTTGTCAGAAGGTCCTGTCGTCAGTAGGAGAGGTGAATCTGATGGCAGTTCGGTGGTGCTCAAACTCACTCAAAAGTGAGTTTGCTGGTCTGGGGGGTCAGCTTCTAGTGGGGACATCAGAAAAACCCAAACGTGACAGCTCTGCTTGACAGTCTCAGCAGAAAGCTGGGAGGACTGAAAGGAGCACTCAGGGTGCCTTCCCCGCGGGGTGGTGCCTCTCCTGCTGTGCCCCCGGGTCGGTGGGACACTGCGGGGAGAGCTTACGCTCCTGCAAATCCGAACCGCTTGGTCTGTGGATAAACAGGAGTTTCATCTCTTGCGAAGCTGATAATGTTTTGCTGTGATGAAATTCACTCAAAAGGAAGGAAAATGAGTGAGGCTTCCTGAAATGCAGGCCACTAATAAGATAATGCTTTTTCCTACCGTAAGAGTATCAGTTTCCAATGCATCAGCCTTAACATGTGCTAACTATAAAACTTTTTATTGCTTTTACTTTACAGAGTAAATACACTGTGCAATTACTACATCTGTGATAACATTGTCAAGAGGTTTGTTTTTTCCAACAAATATTCTGTGTTTTGGCTAAAAAAGAATGGTCTGGTTTAACAAAAAGGGAAGAATTTCGCTATTGATTTTTTTCTTTCAATCAGATTGAGGCTAATTTGCAACTGCAGTCCTGGGACTTCCCGTTTTTTTGATTGGAACTTGGTTTTGCACAGAGAAAGGAACATTTCCAATTCTAAATGCTTATAATGTAAATCAAGTAGCTGCAGAAATTTAACATACACTCATTTCAGTGTAAATGAAAATTTTACTCAGGTAATTGCTCTTTTGTGTCTGTTTTATAAGTATGGAGAAACAGAGTGGTGATACATTACAGTAAGCAGCAGGAGTGCAAGAAGAATCCTGTATAACAATTCAGACTGCATGGCCTGGTGCAAGTAATGCACAAAGCTCATTTGTACAGTTAGACTTGGCAAATCCATTAAGTTTACTTCATTTGTGTGGATAACAAGAATTATCCATTATTGGTACTGATATTGGTAGTTACTGGCTGAATGAGATTTTCTCCTTGGATGTTTGTCTGATTGGATGTAACATGGTAAGTTTTGGATGCTGCGTCCAGGAATGTCCGGGAGGACTCTTAAGATAAGTGGACAGATGTGAGAGGGACATTAGAAAACCGGGCAAAGAAAGACAAGGATTTAGGGAGAGACTAACATCTTGTTAAAAAAGGTGCTGTCTTCAGCCAAGGTTGCGAATATTCACAGAATGAGGAAAGCGGTTGGTTCTAGCCCCTAAGAGCTTCTTTTATAATTCCATGTCTTAACTCCATGGAGCATCTGAAAGGCTGATGCCCCTCTGCTATGATTTTCCTTGTTAGATGACAATGCCAGGTGAAGTTGTTCCTGCTCAGCTGCTGCTTATTTTCATGCTTGCTTTTGCTGATATATGCCCACACAGCTGCTCATGTCCTTGTGTTTCAAACCCCATCCTGGAAGTAATCTTTAAAGAAGCGGGGGAAGGACCACTTCTTGTTGTTCCCGAGCTGGGGTGTCAGGAGGCTTGCTTGGTTTATAAACCGGATCAGTTAACTGATAGATTTCCAAGAACAGCCTCAAAACAGCTGGGAGAGCTGAGCACTGTGGCACAGGGCAGGACAAATAGGGGCAGATGGGGATGAGAGGAGTCTGTGTAACCATCATTGTCTGTGAGCTTCTTGTACTACAGCTATAGAAATTACAGCCTGACGGATCAACTTGGTAATCAGCAGGACAAGCATAATGACGGGAATGAGGGAATGACAGCGTGGGGTGAGGAATGGGAACACAAATAGCCCTTAGGGTGGCAGGGAAGGGACAGGGAGGCGTGCAGAGTGAAGGAGACAAGAGTAAATGGAAAGTTTAGGGGGAGCCTTCACAAGCTTGGCGCCTGCTTCTGCTGCTGTGAAGCAGAACAGAGCATGTCACTGCCTGCAGAAATCCCTGGGTAGTCCTTTGGAAGTCTTTTTTGAAGGCAGAAGCAAGTGGTGCTCAGGTACCACCAGAACCCAGACCTAGAACGGATACCCTCAGCAGAGCTCATCACTTTGTTTCTGTGCCACCTGATTAACGATGCAGTCTTCCATCACTAGACCACATTCCCCACATCGGTAAGCTCCAGATAAACTTCTGATGTTGTTTCCACAGTATTTTAGCACTTGTCAGAAGGGAGATGCCAAGGTAGCCCTTGCTGGTGTATTTGTATTTGAGGTGTTTGGTGGGTTTTGATCAACCATTGAGTAGCTGGGTTCTGTCTTTCTGGAGATGCCAGGGAGTTGTTCAGGGTAGTTCTTCATTTCCTCTAAGAGCTTCCCTGTGTAGTCACAAGGGTGTTTTCCCTTCTTGTTCTTTTTCAGCATGGACAGGAGGTTTGGGTTGCAGTGACAGCATGGTGCTGACAATACTCAGCTCTCAGGTGAGGGCAAGCGAGCTCAACACATGGGCCACGAGGGCTACATCACTGGGACCTTGCAAGATACTTAGCTGTGCCTCGATTCCCCGGTCACAGGGAAGAGGATTTCCCTCCCTCACCCGTCATTTTTGCCAGCAAAGAGATTTTGAGCATCCCTTCCTGATGCAGCCCTTGCCTCAGTAATCTGTTCTTTAGTCACCTTCATGCACGGGCTCCTGTTCAGGAGGTCCCGCGAGGCTAGCTGCAGCTGCTGGCTTGCATAGCTGCTCCTCACGGGGGGAACTGCACTCACGGGTTTTCCTTCTGTGCCTCTCCGAGTGTTTCTTTCTGGTTGCTGGCTGGTGCCTTGCTGCTTCACCTGCGAAGCCCTGCTGGAATCGGCATCCCAGCTGACTCTTCCCGTGCTCAGTCCATATACGGGGGATGTTTGTGAAGGTTTGTAGGGACAGAAGAAAAGTCACAGTAGAGTGTCTTTCTGGTGGAATTTTCTTTCTGCTTGGTCTGGTAGAGCCCATGTTAATTGACTTTCCGAGCATGTTGCGAGCATATTGCACACAACCACATTTAAGGGGGAATACGTGGCTTTTTTTGCTCTCGTAGGAGTTTTTCTGGATTCTCTTAATTTAAGAATTTAAGTGTATTGATATACACTTAAAGCTCATGTTCTTTATTATAGGAGATACTTGAAGCTTTCTCAGGCACCCCAACGCTTCTTAATGTAAGGCTCTTTGGCAGCATCTTGCAGATTGGACAAACTTTATCTCGTGATGAATTTTTCTATCCTGATTGTTTCAGTCTGAAAGAAAATACCTGCCAAAACGGCTTAGTAGTTCTTAAGTGGTTAGAAGAAAAAAAGATGATGGTTTTTTGCATTGAAAATTTCTTCATGCCTTTTCTTTGAAATTTAGTAGATGGGTTTTTGTCAGAAATGTGATTTTTGCCATCCTGGTGAAAATCTTCCCAAATTTGGCTGAGCATATATGCCTTTGGGAAAAAAAAAACCAAAACACCGCAACTCTTAACGTTTTACTGATCATATCCTCTCTAAGAGTCTGTCGGCACTGGGTAGAGACAAGCTTTCTTCCCTCTGCTCCTGGTCTTAGCCCACAGCAGCACAGACCACTGAGGAGAGTCTCACTCGCCCCCCCGAGTCAGGGCACACTCGGGACAAAAGGAGCTTCTGGATAATTCAGTCGCTAAAAAACTTAAGTCTTTGCAGAAGATAGAGGTGCTGTCATTTTTCAAGATGTTTCCGTTGTTGTGGCAGACGTGGCCTTAACTCAAAGTCTGTCTCCTGCAAGCTTTGAAGTCTCAGCCCAACCAAAGGTGGCCAGAATTTTTAACTTGGGCAAAATAGTGTATTTTTCATTAACCGGATATTTGGAAATGGGAGAAATACTTTGGTAGAAACTTTCTCCGTGACTTTTGCACTGGAAAAATGCAAAAGGGCCCAGGACTGGAAAATTTCATCCCACATGTTAAAGCTTGAGAGAGAGATAAGCAACTGAAAACAGGGTCTGGGAGAAGTATCGGGCAATCTTAGTAATAGGTGGTAATACCAGCCTCATCTGTAAAATGTATTGTTGGAAAAAATGTACTGGCTAGATTGTGTAAGAGTTAGCCCAAGGCTGTGTTAATGAAGAGTAAAGACTGTTGTAATGTATTTTACGCTGGGACTTAATTGAAGTTGAATGAACAGCTTCAGTTCTCTCACTTCCTAATTTCTGATGCCTGAGAGCTCTTCCTGCAGCGACACAATTAATTCATCGTCACTGTGTGAATGATTTTGTTTTCAAAGGGGAGGTTAGGGAAGAGGAAGAAACAAGAGCTCCTAGGCTTTAGGAGCATTATGCAGTAGAAAAGCGAGGGTACTTGCAGAAATTACAGTTCTGCAGAGGAAAAACTTGTTGCCCCCTCCCCGTGCCTCCTGGTAGCCCGTAGAAAGCGGCAGAGAGCAGGGGGGAGAGTCCTTCCCGACCACAGGGTCCCGGGGCCTTCTGCTGCTTTTTCTTTTGGTGTGTGTGATTGCTTAGCATGGAAACAGATGATGGGACTTTCTCATTGGCTTTCCAAAAAATGTCACTGTCTGAGGTGAAGCATGAAAAATTTCAGCTTCGAAGTTGCAAGCATATGAAAATAGAGAATGATAATGAAATCCTGATGCAACTTAACTGCAATGAGCTTTTCTGAACTTCTGCTGTTTTATAATGATAATTTGAGGGAGATATCTGTTTGCTAGGAAATAGCAGCATAAACCAAGAGGCTAAAGTCAATGGAGTTGTTTTAGATTTACATTGGTGTAACTGAGACTGGAGTTTGGCATTTAGAGCTGTAATGTTTTTAATGGATGTTTCATTAAGAATTAGACCAAAAATATGTTACTAATAAACAGTATTTAATTTACAACCCAGCTGTTGGGTAAGCAAACAACCAACACATGAGTGTTTCTTTCACAAACCCATTGGTGTCGGCTATCCTTGTATGAGTCCAAAGCAGTGCTCCAGACTTTAGACAAGATAGTACAAGGCATCGTGTCAGTGTCATTCTCGGGATAACAGTTATTTGTGATAAATAGTTGCCCTGGGCCATTTGGTGAAGGTTGAATCACAGTTTGAAGAGTCAGTGACAATGAGGCCGTGCAAACCTCGGTTTCGTTACTCCTTCCACCTACCACAATAAACACCAGGGACCTACTCTTGGAGAAGCTGAGAAGCTCAGCAGCCCTATGGGTAGCAAAAGTAGCTCTGCATGGTGTATCTGTGAGTTGCCTTTTCTGATCATTATTGTCCCAAAGAGTCGATAAGAGCTAGTCCCACACAGCTTCACACAGCTCCGCAGGACGGGGATTACATGTTCTGATCTGTTTTGCTGCCAGAGAGTGGGAACGTTTCCTTTGCTGTTTCTTGAAGAGGAGAGGAGAGGCTGGTGGGCAAAGAGTTAACAGACCTACTCACAGGAAGCGTGCCGAGCTCCCCGTGCATCTCTTAGTGGGTCATTGCAATGGAAAAATAAACAACTCGGGAAGTCAGGAATTCCCATAGCATCCCAGACCAGCACTCCAGTGCACGCAGTATCCTGTCCCGGTGGAGCCAGATGCTTCAGAGGAGGATACGAGCATCCCCGCTGTGTACAATTACGGGATGTGAGGAAGGATAGCTGAACAGGTAGAGCACATTTTAAGACCTTGCAATCAATATTCTGCTTTGCCACAGACCTGCCTTGGGCAAATCTCTCTCTTCACCTCCTGGAAGAGCAGCCGTCCGTTCAGTGTGTCAGCTTGCTAGCCACGGATCTGGAAACGGCCTCTCTGGCCATGCCTGGGAGCATTGTCATAAATCACGTGCAGGGCGTGCATGCCCTGGCCTGGTTACTGCTTGCATCTCCCTTGAGTCTGTCATAAGCCCCTCCATTCTCTGGTACCCCAGATCTCCTTGTGGAGGAGAAATACATTAAGTTTCTGAGGAGCTCAAGAAGCTACTGCAGGGGTAGGTAGATGAGGTCTTCACCTGTGACAAAGCACCTTGGACCAGAATTTTGTACGCTAAAGTCAGTAAGAATTAGGCACACAACTAAGTTTTAAAGGTAACCCTACTTTGAGCAGAAGGTTGCGTTAAGTGACCTCCAGAGGTCCCTTCCAACCTCCTTCGATGCGGCTGACTGCCCTGAAACGTAGAAACGATTATCTCATATTAAAAATGCATTCAGGCTTATGTCATTGACGAAAGCTGGCAAGGTTAGATTCCCAAATTAAGCTCATCAGTAGCTGTTTGTGTAATAAACTCTATAGCACCATAGTTGCAGGAAGGGCTGGCCAGGTTCACTCTGTTGTGATAATGAGGGTTATATGCGCACATAAGGAGCGTCTTCTTCCTAGAGCCCAGCTCTGAAGGTTGCATTCGGATGACAAAAGGAGTTGTCCTCCCCGGCATCGGCAGCAGGGGAAGGGTTTTTGGGCAGAGCCAACATGTGGGTTTGTATGTGGGCACAAGTCCCTTCTAAAAGTCTGTTCCCAGATGGGAACTGGTGTGTACTGAGTGGTTTTGAAAATCCAAAGGGCCTGAGGTAGAAAGAAAAAAGGAACCAAGCTTTTCTTAAAGTCTTGTCGAGACAGCTGGCTGTCAGCCCTTGAAAATGTGGAGTCAGGCTGTTTTGAAGACTGGATCCATAATAAATGGCATTTAAAATATCTCTACTTAAATGTGCTACATATGTCAGTGCTGGGATTTTTTTTTCCCCCCCAAGGTCTGAAAAGTCCCTTCATAAAGATCCCTGCAAATTTCTGCACAGAAATGACGTTCAGAACCACCACGCTCAAGAATTCAGTTTCTGTTGAGCCGCAGTATAAAATCATGGAAATCTATCTTGAATGGATAGCATTTGAACATTGTCCCTACAGCACATACACCATTTATCCCCTCCTTTGTAGTGTTCAGGGCCTGTGGTTTTGGAACCAAGTAACAGGACTCGCTGTATCTTATCCTGCCTTATTTGTTGCAGACCACATTTTGTATGCAAGGAAACAACAGACAAAATAGCCTCCAAAAGAAAGGAAGAATGAGATAGTTTCCTAAGTTGTCTTTGCCTGAGTTGGCAGCTGCTCCGCTTCATTCAGCTTTTTGTTCCCCAGTGAGTGCTGTGCGTGTGTAGCAACAATGGGGTGATGCAGTTACACCGCGGGCTCATGGCGGAGTTCCGTCAGATCCATTCATAAATACAGCCTCGGCCGGCGCGCCGAGGAAGCCGGGCCCCCGAGGAACCGGCCCCGCAGCCCAGGCATCGCCGCCGGAGGAGCTCACGGGCCGGCGATAGATAGTCTGGTCGGAGACTTGCCCCCGACCTCCGGCGGGGGATCCGTGCTCGGCTCATACAGCTTTGTATAGTCGCAGCTTGTCGCAGCTTTTTTAAAATCCTCTTTTTCAGTAAACGCTCGTGGCGTTTATTGCAGCAGGGTAAATTCGGAGCTTTTCACAGTTGCAAAGTATACCTGTTAGAGGGAGACGATCAGCTTGAAATCCCAAGTCACGTTAAGCAGGGAGTATAATTTCAGGCATGGCATCTGGCCCTGGATCACCCTGCCAGTGTTTTGGCTTTACTCTCACTTTTTCCAGTTCTAAAAACATGGTTCTCTCCTGTTGCTATGAGGAATACCCACATGAGCAACAGGAAACCAACAAACTGACTGTTGAAGCAAACAGTGGAACTGAATCTAGAAAGTATACTGTTGAAAGTGCTGAAAAGACCGAAAAATTGCAGAGAAAAATGTGCCATCTTTCAGATGCTTAACGTTAGTCATCTTATTATTGCACTATTACAGTAATGTAGCAATAGCGAGTGGAGAAATTCTGGCATAGATGAGATTTTTTTTTTTTTTAAGTGAGATGTCCTCGTTAGTCTGCATGAAATGCCCTTTGGAACAGCAAATTACTATTTTCTGTACTTGCAGATGGAAAAACAGAGCCATAGACACTTATCTGTAATTGATGCTCTTTGTTACAGTAGCAAAATAGACACATTTAGGAGGGAAAACATTTCTGTTTTTAAATTGCGTCCATTAGGTGCGAGATCACTGAGATACAGCAAATGTAGTAAATGGGCATGATATTCCCACAGCAGCTTTGCAGGCTCTTGTTTTGGAGAAGGTCGGCAAGCTAAAGGCCAGCGCTCGGCACACGAAGGCCCCGCTTTGGGAAGGAATCCCTGTTTATGTCAACAATGAAGCATGTGCTTTGGAGAGGTTTGAATTGGGGCCCAAATGTGAACCAGCGGAGAAATCCAGCCGTCTTTTGTATTTAGGAGTACAGATGACACGTTCCACGCTGGAATTTATGTAAATCCCAAATCTTTAACGCATGTCTGATGGCTGCTTTCTTAGATTATCCAAGCAATGCATACATGACTGGTGAACAGTATTGTCACTTCAAATATCTCCAGCATCCTTTCCATTTATCATACCAGGTCCCGCACCTAAAAAAAGTCCTTTTCTGGCTTCCCTTTTGCAATTACTTTTAAAAAAGAGGAAGAGATTGGGGGCGTTAACAGTTATTTGTGAAGTAATTAATGTATACGTGGAAAACCAACCACCCTTTAACACAAAAATGCCAGAAGGCTTTTGCAGTGTTCCCAGTGTTGGGACTTTGAGCGCTCAGCAAAGCACCCGGGGTTTGGATCCAGGCTCCTAAATCTGGTCAGGAAATGCAGGGGCATCACGAAGTATCCGGTAGAGTTATAGCTCAGTATTTTGCATTGTTTGTATGCGTATGTTATATATAACAACAGTCCTACTGTTACCCTTGCTGCTGGTTGGAAAAGGAGAGTAGGGTTGCAGTTTGGCTTTTGAAAGCCAAATGAGAAGTGACCCACTCAATCACTGAGCAGGATCGTCCTCAGCCTTGGCGTTGCGGAGGAGTTCATGACTCTGCCTTGCTCTTGGCCTGAGCTCGGCACAGCTTGGGCTGTGGTAGCGATGGCAGGCGTGCCGATCCCTGCCGACTTCCCTGGGGTTACCAAGCCGTGCTCTCAGCAGCTGGATGTCTGTACGTCCCAGGTAGGGCTCTGAGGTACGGTGTCGCTTCTCTTCAGTCGTTTCTCAAAGCTGTTTCACTGGCTCAGGCTTTGGCTGCTGCGGTTGCTGATGCACAACACCTCACCATGAAGCTAAGATCTTGTCAAGGGTTAAGCCATGTTTAATTTTAACAGATTTAAAATGGAACCTTGTTAAACAGTAGTCTTGCAGTCTTTGGTTTCTTCCTTAAATGCTGCCATAAGGCATTTTCTCTGGACGCTGATATTCCCAAATGAGTGCCATCTTGGATGGGCAAAGGCTGGGTGGCTGCAAGGCTCAGACCAGTTTCCATGTACCCAGATGTTTTGATAAACAAACAAACATTAGGAGGCTTGCTGGGGTAAGCTTTCTTATTTCTTCTCCCAGGCAAGACCAAAACTGAGATGCAAAAGGGGAATCTAAAAATCACGATGCAAAAAGCGCTGTGTCCTGAGGCACCGTGGAAGAGAGCAGTGCTAAGTTCGTCCCTTCTACAGGGCATGCCTCCCTGCCTGCCGGGGACAGTGAGCGGCGCAGCTGTGGAGGTTGCTGGCATAAGGAGCGCAGGGTCTGGCAGTCCTGGGTGTTGGGTGACCAGTATGGACGCAGGGGTGCGCTGTCGTTTCTCAGCCCTGCCTAGCTGTGAAATGAATCCGGTGGTTTAAATCTGTTTTAGAGTGGTTGTCATCGTGGGAGTAGGTGCAATAAATACACAGCCGCAGTCCCCTTATGGTCACAGAAGCTCTGGATTGATTCAAAATGGAGAAAGAGAGAAAAATTGCGTGGCTGAAATAGTTTACCTTCTTGTGATAGCCCCTCCACTACTGGCATTTGAGAGGAGTGATCTTTTTCTTTGCGGAGAAGGTGGTGTACTGCTACTCAGTTGCTGTGGGATCTGACGCAGAGACCATTGTCATCCGAAAGGTACCATCTGTCAGCTTCGGTTTGGATGGGGTGCCAAGGAAGACGTGAAAATGGCTAGATAAAGTCTATGGCAGAAACCCAAGCCAAGTTACTAAAGCAGCTATAAAATGTCTTTTCAATACCCTCCCCCCCTTTTTTTTTTTTTTTTTTTTTTTTTTTTTTTTAATTTATCAGGCCAGTCATGATCTTGCAAGATGGAGAGGATGTCTTGCACCTGTTGAACTCGGTAAAGCTAGGGCGGCAGGCTGCGTGGATCACGATGAGGTAGTCCTGGAGCTCGGAGCAGTCAGGACTGAAAATCCCAGAAATTAACCAGTGCAAAGCGAGAGCCTGTTGGCTGGGTTGTGGGATGCCTCCCCTAATGGCTTGCCAATGCACCGTAAACATCAGTTTAAAACTGGAAGCTGGGGAGCAGTATAGGGCATATGTACTACAGAGGTGTTGAAAAGTTCAAGAAAATGAATTATGTATAATATTCTGCAGGATCTTTCCTAGTGCTTGTGTTTTCTTTCAAGATTGTCATGAATGGAAATTGAAATCCTCAATTATTATTGACTTGAATAAGTACATCCTGATATAGCGCTGCTGATTCCTCCTTCCAGTCATTTTCACTGCCAGCATGTCCATCACAGCCACGAGGGTACTCCTCATCGGACACAGAAAAGCATTTCTTTTCCTTCAAATGCATTTCAAGTGTGCTAGTAAAATCACCCAGGGATGAAAAAGTTTCAGAAAAAAAAAAGAAACCCAAAAGTTAATTGCCTTTTTAGTTCTGTACAAGCTGAAGTAAAAATAAAACTATGGAATGGAAAGTACCTGAACTATTTTAATCATTAAAACTACTAGACCATATAGAAGAATGGGGAAGTTGATCCATGTGACACACACTTAAAAAACTTTTTTATAAAAACAACAAAGGCAACCGCACGATGTTCTGAAGGAATGGCCCAGTCCCTGTATCGCAAAATCTAGGGCCATTACTTCAGCGTGTTATAGTGTTCTTCCAAGGAAGAGTTGCTGAATATAGTGCAATTCGTATTTTTTAATTTTGGTATGTTTTTTAAAGCTTTAATTCTCTCTTGTCAGTGCTATCTAGAGCTTGCAAAATGAAAGTCCACCAGTAAAATACGTACACATGCAGCAAATCCAACGTGAAACTTGGAAGGGTTAAAAACACTGCATCATGAGAAGGCCAGGCTGTTTGTCCTGAGGTTTTTGTATTTTTTGTATTGTGTCACTTAACTTTGGATTGACAGAAAGTTCCAGTGAAGTAAAGAGAAGTGGTAGCCCCTCTATAAAACAAGCCACTTGATGTATCACGCTATGATTTACTGAGGGAGCTGGCAGAGGAGCTTGCC